TTTGCTATAGGGTGCGTGCGCTCTCCAGACAGACAGAGAGAGACATAGAGACAGAAAGCGAGAAATCACCCCCCAGGGGGATGGCCATGCCACAATCCCTTCTCCTCCATTCTCCTCCTGGGATCTTGGGCACGCATACACATGCACCCGGCATGAGTTTTAAGCCACCAGATCTGAGACGCGAACTGCGGTCAACTACGTGGGAGTCCAGCGACAAAGCCATTATGCTAACTGCTGGTTCCCAGTATTTCATTTCTTTAAAAAGATTTATTTATTTTATTTTAATTTATTTAACTTATTATTTATTTACTTTTATTTTTATTTGACCAGAGAAAGAGAAAGTGAGAAAGCAAGCCACCAAGTCTAAGACTTGAACCACGGTTGGCTATGTGGGAGTCCAGTACCATAACCAGCATGCCACCTGCCAGTCCCATATTTGTTTATTTTAATTTGCTGTAGGGCATGTACACTCACCAGAGAGAGACAGCAAGAGAAAGAAAAAGTAAGCCATCAGTTTCATTGTTCAAACCATGTCACCCATGTGGGAATACAGCACATTAACCACCATGCCATCTACTGGCCCACTGTACTTCATTTTTGCTTGCACCCATATCCATGTCCCGTGGCCCACCATGCCTTGGTGTCCCTTTCTACACCCCCAATTTTTTTTTTTTAACCTTCCTCTCCATTTTTCACTGTTTCTTTCTTTTTTGGCAAGCCTTTCTTTTATATTACATTTTTTTCTCAGTGTCTTTTTTTTTTTAAAGTTAGGGGGAATGTTCGATGGCCAGAGAGGTAAAGTGAGAAAAACCATCCACCCAGAGGAGATGGCTGTGCCACAGTCCCTTCTCTGTTTTCCTCTTGGGATTTTTGACACACACGCATACATGCCCAGTGTGTTTCTGGGACTTGAACTATGCTGTTGGTCATGTGGGAGCCAGCCACCTTAACCACCACACCACTGACTGGCCCCTTCCTCAACACCATAACTTTTGGAAATTGAAAACTAGACTATGACAAAGCAAGAGTAATGAGAATTAGTGAGCAGCCTGCCAGGGAAGCACACCTTTGTGTCCTGACAGGCCGTGTGTCTATCTGCTGGCGTAGCTGGTTCTGAACTCACCTCTGAGGGTAGGGGGGATGCAAAGAGTAGATTGACCTCCTCCTAGAGCATGAGGAGAGGCAGATTCAAAGAGGGCTCCATCCTGCATTCACAGCATGCCACCAGTTGTGATGTGCTTGTATTCATTCAGGCCACAAACTCTGGCCTGTAGAGCTCCATCAACAACATGAGTCATGGTTTGGGGGGCAGTGATCCAAGTTGAGTTCCTGCTTCTTATCCTTAACACCAGAGATGCTGTTTCCCTGTCCAAGAAGGTTTCTTGCTTACTCCCTCAGGGCTTGCATGACACTAGTGAGTAATATCACTGTTCAGGAAGAAAGTCGGAATAAGTAAATGACTTTCAAATAAAAAGTTTTGTTTTAAATATTTTTATTTTTAAACTTACGTAACTATAAAATACTTTTGTTCCCAAAGTCTTGCTCTTCCACTAAGTCACCACTGTTACCCATTTGGTGTTTCAAAGGTATTTCCAGTTAGGTCTCAAATGTAGCTTTTAGAATTTACAGAAAAATTTGAGGTAATAAATGGTCCTGTCATTCAAAAAGCAGTTTGATATATCTGTCTTTTTTTCCTTTTTGATATTTAATATAATTAGGATAATACTTAATATAATATTCATTTTCCCTTATTAAATCACTTTGGAACCAGCAGGTGGCATGATGGTTAAAGTGGCTGAATTTCTACATGGCTGACCATGGTTCAAATCCTGGACCTTGCAGCTTGAAAATCATGGGGCCGGCAAGTGGCATGGTGGTTGAAGGCGCTGGACTCCCACATGGCCAACCATGGTTCAAGTCTCAGACCTGGTGACTTGCTTGCTCCCTTCCTCTCTCTCTCTCTCTGTCTCTCTCAGATCAAACTGGAAAATAATAATGATAATAATAAATAAAGTTAAATAAAAATAATTCTTAAAAAAAAAAAATCACTCCAGGCGTGTATGAATGGAAGAGAAGGGCTTGCTGTGTAGCCATCACTTTAGCGGGTGACTTCTCACTTTCCTTTTGGTGAGCACATATGCCTTATGACAGAAACCTAAAATAAATAAATGGATGCCACCTTGTACATTTTTTTATTTTCTTTTTAAATTTGTCAGAGAGTAGATACACTCATTAGAAAGAGAAAATGAGCAATTTCCCCTATTGGGTGTGGTCACACAGCAATGTCTTTGTTTCTTCCTTTCTTATTTTGGGTATGTGTGCCCAATGTGTTTCTCAAACTACCAGATCTAGGACCAAACCCTCAATCAGGGTACAGCTGCCTTAACCACCACAACACTGGCTATCTTTTTTTTTTTTTTTTTTTTTTTAAGAGACAAGAGTCTCACTGTTGTGAAGTCTGGCCTCAGACTCATGATTGTCCTGCCTTAGCTTCCTGAATAGCTGGGATTACAGGCCATCTGCTTTATCATTTTTCGTGGCTGCATGATGACCTATTTTTAATATATCGTAATTCTTTCATTCATCTATGCTTTCTGATTGTTCAGTTCTAAATAGCATGGTATTGTAATAACCCGCACTACATTTCTTTATCTTTCTTAGTTTAGTTTGCTTATTTTGAGAAAAAGGAGGAGAGAGGGTGATAGGAACCCTCCTGATAAGATCTCATCACACTGTGAACCTTCCTCAGACTTCAGTCACCCAGAATCTTGGGAATTGCCAGCATGTTCAAGTTGACCTAGGATCTGGACTTTGAGCCCTTCTATTTGACCTCAGTATCATGTAGCCACCAAGATCTTGACTAGGCTCCCCCCCCCCTTTTTTTTTTTTTTTAAGATTTTGGCCATAGGCATGGGCTCACCAATGAGAAGAAAAGTGAAAAACCACCCTTCAGTGGGAGATGGCCATGCCACAGTCCCTTTTCCTTTCTTTTCCTGGGATTTCGGGTATGCATGCACATGTCTGACATGATTTTTTTAAGCCACTAGATCCAGGACTCGAACTGCAGTTGATGAGGAGGGAATCTAGCGGTTTTACCACCATGCTACTTAACTGGCCTCCCCATTGTACTTTTTTATGTTCACTTATTTCATGGTGTGAATTTAAAATAGCATTAAAAACAAACACAAATGCATATTTTTGTATAAACTTTTTGCTAAAGGGCATGTACGCTTGCGGGAGAGACAGAAAGCAATAAATCATCCCTGAGGGGGAGCAGCCACACTGTAATCCCTTTTCCTCTATTCTCCTCTCAGGATTTTGGGTATGCATACACACATACCCAGCATGAGTTTTTTTGTTTTGTTTTGTTTTTGGGGGGGTGTTTTTTGAGAGGTTTTTGCTACAGGGTGTGTGCCCTCACCGGAAAGACAGAGGCAGAGAGACAGAAAGCGAGAAATCACACACACAGATCGG